CCCCCCCCCGAGGTCATTCTCCTAAGGCTCGTCCATTCCTCAGTCCCTCCCATATCCCCTGTCATTCTCGAGGTCCCGCCTACCTGCCCCCACTCGTTTTTCTGCCTTAGTCCAGTACCCCACTCTCGTCAGGCTCCGCCCCCACAGTCTCCCATCTCGTACACTTAGCCCTTTTCGGGGCTCCAGCCTTTCAGATTCCTGGCACGGTCTTCCCAACCCAGGCCTCAAACCATCCCCAGCCTTCCTACGACTCATGACGACCCTCGTGGGACTCTGCAGTCTGAGAGCCTGAGGGCTCCTTTCCTTCTGCCCTCCACTCTTCCGGGCCCCATCCGCACCCATGGGGACCCCATCCCAGAGCCGTCAAGCCCCTGGTGTGGGCTGGAGGCTGTGTAGTAACTCTCGGCAGAAGCTACTGAGGCCTGTTTCCCCAGCCCCGCCCCGCCTCGGGGAGGCCCCGCCCCCTCAGCCTCACCTACCTGAACGGGGATCCTGTCCCTGCCCAGGGTGGTCTTCACCATTCCCGTCCGCGTGGCCCCGGTGTCTGGCTCCCCAACTCTAATTTCAGTCCGGGCGGGTGTACCCACCCCATCGTCCCCTGCTTCCCCGCAGTCTACAGACAATGTACCGTACAGGGTCATGGCCTCGCCCCAGTGGGACTCTGGGACCACCAAGATGTTGGTGGCTTTGGACATGTTCTGTCTGATGCAGGATAAGCCCCTCCCCGCCAGCTTTGAGCACCTCCCCAGTCCTGAAATCCAAGGGGCCATATTGGGGTGGGTTGGTCTGCCTGTCTTTATCTGAGGATCCCTAGCCAAGGGGGCCACCGGTCTGCCCTGGTGTGTGTACATGGGTCCTGCGGGTGTCCATCCACGTGTGTCCTTCCTTTGAGGGTGTCTGGGCCGATGTGCGTTTGTGAGAAAAGGACTCTCTCCACAGGTGTGGCTTTGTGACCACAGCACGTGGTGTATATGGCTGTGTGTTTGCCAGCCTCCTGGGCCTGTGTGCTGGCTCTGTTTTTGAATTGTGTGTCTGGGTCTGTCTGCTGGTGTCTGTGTGTGTGTGTTGCATATTTCTGTGTATGTTGGATTGCATGCATGTTGTGTGAGTGTACCTGGGTCCGTGTTGTACTTACATCTGTGTTCATGTATGACTCCATGTGTGTCTGTTATCTAGGCCTGCCTATATATGTACTGGGGTCTGACTGTGGGGCATACCTGTGTGTGTCTCACGTGGCGTGTGTGTCTGTCACTGGTTATGTGTTGTGTTGGCTTAGAGGAGGTGTGATATTTGTTGTGCATGACTGGTGACTCTCATGCGTGCGGGTGGACTACAAGAGCCTGTGAGTATACGTGCATCTGGTCTGGGAGTGGATTCAGTGGCATTTGTGTGTCTGGATGTGTGTCTAAGTCCAAATGGCCCTGTGTGTATTGTGTGTCTATGCATGGATATCTGAATCTGTGTATCTGGGTCAGATGTGTGGTTGTATTGTGTAACGTGTATGTCAGACCCTGTGTGTGTGTGGGGGGGCTGGCATCTGTACCACCTGTGCTTGCCTGTTGTCTAGATGTGTGGCTGGCATATGCCAATCCACAACTCCCCAGTAGGCAGAGCCAGTGACCGAAGTTCCCTCCCTAGGGAGAAGAGGCCTGACTGGGACACTAGCTTTCCCCTCCCCCCCAGCCCAGGAAGAAAGTTAGAGGGTATGGAAAGCTGGGTTCTCTCCTGCAGTGGGCAAGGTGAGGGACTAGCAAACAGCAAGAGGAGAGAGAGCGGCCTTGGGAGAGGTCTTTGGGGTGACAGAGGTTGGCACCTCCTGGGGACAGGTCCCCTGCCCTGCCTCATTTTAGGATGGTGGTGTCAGGAGGCTGGGGCTCTTGGCATGGCTCACACCAGTATCCCCGAGCCAAATCTGCTACGGAACCACAGATATAAGCATGCACGCATACACAGATCCCAAACACCCACGGACACACATGCATAACCTCAGACACACACACACACACATACACATACACAGATCACACACGGGGCACACACACCCAAAGGTACCCATTCACACTTCAAACAGGTATTCACATAATACCTATACACGATGCACAGAGACACACACACCTGAATTCATGCACACCTTCAAGCACACGAATGCATATACCAGGATCAACACACATGCACACACACTTCCATAGACACCCATAGTCAAATACGTGCAAAATCACAGACACACACACACACACACACACACCAAGAAAGACACACTTTCGAAGTCACAGAGTCACAGCTACATAGAAAGACACATGTTTGGGCTCGGTGACTCAGCCTGTAATCCCAGCACTTTGGAAGACTGGGGCGAGTGGATTGGCTGAGCCCGCGAGTTCGAGACCAGCCCTGGCGGCAACTTGGCGAGACTTCATCTCTACAATAAATCAGAAATTAGCCGGGCACCTGAGTAGTTCCGGCTACTTGGAAGGCTGAGGCAGAAGGATCACCAGAGCCTAGCAGGTCGACACTGGGGTGGCCGTGAGCGTGCCACTGTACTCCAGCCTGGGCGATGGAGTGAGAATACAACTTAAAAAAAAAAAAAAAAGACACATACACCAGGAAACATACAGTCACAGATTCACAGGCACATGCTCATGTCACAGGTGACATAGATATTCGTCAACACTGACATACACATATTCACAAATGTAAAGACACACAGAGCCACCACCGTATACACACACACAGAAAAAGTGAGCTCTCCCACCCTCGTGCCCTGATTACCCGGAGCCTCTCACCCACCTCATTTGCGCACCCACGGGTGGCAACCTGCCCGTCCCCCAGTCCTCACCATCTCAGCCGTCAACCTCCTGTGCCCTGCCCGCTGCTCATTCCCGCCCGCCTCCCTGTCAATCTTTCTAGGCCCCCCCACTCCTCCCTGTCGTTCTCTCTAGGCCCCTCCCACTCCTCACTGTCACTCTCTAGGCCCCTCCCACTCCTCCCTGTCATTCTCTCTAGGCCCCTCCCACTCCTCCCTGTCGTTCTCTCTAGGCCCCCCCACTCCCCCTGTCATTCTCTCTAGGCCCCTCCCACTCCTCCCTGTCGTTCTCTCTAGGCCCCTCCTACTCCTCACTGTCACTCTCTAGGCCCCTCCCACTTCCCCAGTCATTCTCTCTAGGCCCCTCCCACTCCTCCCTGTCATTCTCTCTAGGCCCCTCCCACTCCTCACTGTCACTCTCTAGGCCCCTCCCACTCCTCCCTGTCATTCTCTCTAGGCCCCTCCCACTCCTCCCGGTCAGTCTCCCTAGGCCCCGCCCACTCCCCCAGTCATTTGCCTCCCTGGCCCAGCCGACCACAGAGGGGGAATGAAAGGGCTCCACCCGCGGATGGGTCCCTGGGGCTCTATCCTCCTCTCACCTGACCAGAGCATCCTCCCCACACAGCCTTCCTGCCGACCCACCACGTGAGATACAGGGAGGACAGACTGGCCAGAGGGTTTAGGGAGAGTAGGCCTCAGGTGACCCGGCCATGAGTGACATCTTCGCTGCCCCCTGCTGACAACCTTCCCACCCAGCTGAAGAGAGCGGTGTGGTAGCTCCCCACTTCCAGGGCTCTTTTGCAATGACACCAGCATCAAATACCCTCGACTGTCCCATGATGTCATCGAGGACTTGGAACTCATCACCAGGGGCTTCTTCATCTCCATCTTCATGGTAAGAGGCTGCCGCTTTCACCCCAAGTAGCAGTGACATGCCACACTGCAAGCGTCACCCCTTTTCTGGCAAAGTGGGAAGCCCTGCCTTAGGCAAGAGGAAGTAACACCTCCTTTCCTTATGAAACGAGAACTCTTGCTGCTTGGTGGGACAGGAGGAAGGTCAAGGCTGTACAGGAGGCAGAGGTGGGAGGATCTCTTGAGCCCAGCCTGGGTAACATAGTGAGACCCTGTCTCAAAAAAAAAAGAAAGAAAGAAAGATAAAGCTCACCACTTGTTGACATAGGAGATCATGGAGCAAAAGGAAGTTCAGCCCCTTCCCCTTGTACACGCATAAAGCAGAAAGCAGGCCTGCCCCTTTTCTGGTGAGTTGGGAATCCACATTCAAACATAGAAGAAATGAGCCTGGCATGGTGGCTCACGCCTGTAATCCCAGCACTTTGGGAGGCCAAAGCAGGAGGATCAATTAAGCTCAGGAGTTCAAGACCATCCTAGGCAACACAGTAAGACCTCATCTCTACAAAAACATTTTTTTTATTAAAAAAATAAAAAACCTAGCTGGGCATGGTGATACACACCTGTAGTCCTGCTATTCGGGAGGCTGAGGCTGCCCCCAAGTCCAGGAGGTCGAGGCTGCCGTGAGCCATGATCATGCCACTGCATTCCTGTCTGGGCAACACAGTAAGACAACTGAGTCAAAAAAAAAACACAAAAACAAATATATAGAGAAAATGTCCCACCGCTTTCTCCGAGTAAAAGGGGAAAGTGCACCATTTTCACGCATTTGGAAAGAAATCGATCCTCTTTTCCCGGTGCAACAGAAAGTTCCTCCTCCTTTAGAGGTGGGACAGAAAATCCTGCCCATATGCGACATAAAGTAGTAGGACTCCCACCCCTTTTTTTGGTGCAACAGGAAGTCCCGCCCCTTTCAGATATGGGACTAGAAATCCTGTCCATATGTGACATAAATAGGAGGAAGTCCCACCCCTTTTCCTGGTGCAAAAAGAAGTCCCGCCCCTTTCAGATATGGGACAGGAAGGCTTGCCTGTATGTGACATAAAATGCGGCAGGCCCCACCCTTTTTCCTGGGGTAACAGGAAATCCTGCCCCTTTCAGGTATGGGACCGGAAATCCTGCCTACATGTGACATAAAATAGGGGGGAGGTCCCACCCCTTTTCCTGGTGCAACAGGAAGTCCTACCCTTTTCAGATATGGTATGGGAAATCCTGTCTATATGTCACGCCAGTTAGGGGGGGAGGTCCCACCCTTTTTCCTGGTGCAGCAGGAAGTCCCGCTCCTTTTGCTATGGGCCTCCTGCTCAAGGCTGATCTATATTGGGGGACTCACCCTTTTTCTTGGTGTAACGTGAAGTCTTGCCCCTCTCCTATTTCCAGGTGAAATAGGAAATCCTGCCCATTTCAGGCCCAGGAGTGGGCAGATCTGCCATGTTTGTAAGTTCCCAAATGAGAAGCCCCGCCTCTCGCCTGGTTGAGTGGAAAAGGGCACCTCTTTCCCTAGGGAGCAGAGAAATGCGTCCTGAGAAAAAGCATCGAGGACTGCCCCTCTTAATGTCCCCCTGTCCCCAGCAATGATGTGCCTCCTCCCCGCGCGACCCTGAAGACGGGCCTGGGAGCGATGATTCCCGCCCAGACCCTGCAGCTGAGCTCGCAGCACCCACGTGGTCATGGTCTATAAACAGCCCGGCACCTTCATCTCCGGCTGCATGGCCAACTCCTCCCTGACAGCATCGCCCAGATGACCACGGGGCACCTGCGGCCCCGATTCCTGGCCACATGCCTGCCAGGCCGGGCCAGAGAACACCCCATTGTCCCTTCCCCCGCCCCTTGTCCCCTGCTGCCACCCTGCACCCATACTTGGTGACAGCCGTGCCTGGCACGGCTTCCACAGAGCCTGTGTGTGCCCTGGAGTTGGAAGGGCTTTTCTTAAGACTCATTCAGCATCCTTCTCCCAGAACAGTAACTTCCAGAACCCTCTGTCTCCCCGCTGCCCGTAGCTGGAGAGGACCCACAGTGGGCTGGGGCCATGTGCAGGGCTGGGCTCCTCCAGGGCAGAGAGAAAGAAAGTCAGGCCCAGCTGAGTTGCAGGTCTAAGGTCTGGGCGGTGAGGTGGAAGAAGGGGCCGGGAAGGAAGAAGGGGCCGGGAAGGACTTCTGGAAGGGAGCCAAGGATCCACAGACCCGGGACACAAAGAAGGCATAGACTCGGGTGCTGGAAGCTGATCGCACACAACGGCGCCAGTCCAGAGCCTCGGGCACCGTGTTGGGCAGACACATGACAAACACAGAGGCCCAAGCAGCACGGGGCACGTGACGGTCACACGGCTGCCTCGGTACCGGCAACATTTTCTTATTGAAAGACACTCATTGGACTGCTGGCCTATCATGCTTTAAAAAAAAAAAAGAGTAACAAAGTAAATACAGCATCCTGTAGGCAAGTGCAGGGATTTTGGATCCGGTGTGCCCAAGCTTTGTTGGCTCTGTGCCCAGCCTCAGCTTGAATGAGATAGGCAAGCTCTTTGGGCCTCCCTGTTCTTATCTATAAAATGGGCATGCAAACAGCAGCTACCCCCCTTGGATGTGATTTCATGAGGTGGAATAGAAACAAGCAGACACACACGAAAGCCGGGGGCGATGGCTCAAGCCTGTAATCCCAGCACTTTCAGAGGTTGAGGTGAGAGAATTCCCTGAGCTCAGGGGTGTGAGACCAGCCTGGGCAACTTGGTGAGACCTAGTCTCTACAATAAATCCAAAAAATTAGCCAGGCGTGACGGTGCGTGCCTGTGGTTCCAGCTACTTGGAAGGCTGAATCAGGAGGATCGCCTGAGCCCAGCAGGTTGAGGCTGCAGTGGCCGTGAGCGTGCCACTGCACTCCAGCTTGGGTGACAGAGTGAGACTCCGATTCAAACAAGGAAATAAATAAGTAATAGGCAAGCTGGACTCCTTCCTCCCACAATCCCCCGCCCACCGCTAGGATGGATTGGGGGCTGAGGTGCATATCAACAATGCCAGGAGGCTCACAGATGGAGTGGAAATGTTCCTCCCAGCCCCAGATGGCAGACAGATCACACAACCAGCAGGCAGGCCTTTCCCTGGTTTGTGGACTTCAGAAAGTGTGGTCAATTTTGTGAGCAGAATGTTCTGGGTCCCTGAGAATTCTCTCACCTTGCAATGCCTGATTTCTCCCTGAAACATACAATTGTCACTTTCTCATTCTCCTTGCTCGTATTAAGGGAAATGGATGAACCTGATGTTTAAAAGTGGGATTTTGGGGGTTTGCTTTGTTCTCTGTTTTCCATTTTAAAATCAGGAGCCCAGTCTCTGCTTTTAAGGGTTCCCTGATGAGGCTGGCCCAGTTTGATTGGCAATACGATAGCGGCAGCCGGTGATAGTACTGGGCCAATCTGAATTGTGTCAGATGACTGCTTGGAAAATCCTTGATTCAAGGTCTAGCCGTTCTCTTAACACTGGCATAGAGTTTCGTTTTGTTTGGTTTGAACAGAGATCTCACTCGGCCACCCGGGCTGGAGTATAGTGACACAGTCATGGCTCATGGTAGCCTCTACCTCCTGGACTAGGTGATCCTTCCACTTCAGCCTCCTGAGTAGCTGGAACTACAGGCACACACCACCACGCTCGGCTAATTTTTTTAGATTTTGTAGAGATGAGGTCTTGCTGTGTTGCCCTGGCTGATCTCAAACTCCTGGGCTCAAGCAATCCTCCAGCAATCCTGAAGTCCTCCCAAAGTGCTGGGATTACAGGTGTGAGCCACTGCTCCCAGCCCTGTAGCATAGAATTATTGGGGTCAACCGCTCTTATATTGATGGTTTCGGGAACCACCACCAATACCCGCATTATGTACTGAATTTCATTTTCATACAAAACTGGCAGGATAGAATGGGGGCATGATACAGCCCCCAGGACCAGACAGACAGGTGACCGTAATAATGTGGTCCCTCTAGACGTTGGTTCCTGATCTTCAAGGAGCAGTCTCACCCCCATCCCAGCTTGATGTGCTCCTGGAAATGGAAGACCTTGATGGTTTTCTGGGTGAAAGGTGATGCCACGGGCGCCTGGGTACCAAAGTGACTGCTTGTCTGGGATTGGAGCCCAGGAGAGGACAGACAAGGGAGGGGTGTGGGTGAAATCACTCACACCA